AATAATATAAATAATAAATATCTGCTGCACTACAATTGTTTTATTTTCATTTATTTACATTATACACTATGTAGTATACACATTAACCTAGTAGAGCCTTAAACTCATCTTTTGCCTTTTGGAGTGCTTTGGTAAACAATTTTTCTAGCTCTTGATCATCATCAACTTCTAGTATAGCTTTCTTGAGTTCCAACTATTCTTTTGAAAGTGTAGCTATGTCTCGCACGTTGTCGCTATCAATGAACATCTGTACCCCCTTTAAAAATGTTTCGTTCATAGCTTCGTCACTTTCCTTTAAACGCGCCAATTCTTTCATGGCCTGCTCTTTCCTCTTTAGCTCCCTTTCATGTTTGGCGCTGTGTGTACGTCCAGTTGATGTCGTGGACACACAGGAGTCAGCGCAATCAGAAACTTCTGTGTTTTCCCATTCAATCGCACTAGATATCCCAGTAGTTAGTGGGCCTCCTGCAACAGCACAGAGTGCTTCTAAAGCACCCTCCCCACGTGGCAATATGTACGTGTACAACATCAGTGCACAAATCTTACCATTAAATAAATCCATAAATGTGGGCGCATGATGGCCAGATTTCTCCTTATTTGTTTGCACAATCGCAAAGCTATATTTGGCATTTTTCCACCAAGAGATTAGTCTGTTTCTCACGGCTGTCTTGCAAATAATGTCTCCAAACATCTTTCGGGCCTGTGTTGTAAATATCATATCCATAGGATCGACTCATCCTATTCGCTCAACCATGCTCTTCTGGGTAGCATTCAGGTCATCCCAGTCCTTTTTCCTCTGTTCGAGTGGAGGAGAGGCTGCATACTGTGACTTCTTTCTACGCCGTTCAGCTAACTTGTCAGCGTGCTTAGGTACTCGTGCTCGCAGAATAGCATCGTCAACATTATCGTCATCGCTGTCAGAATTGCTTGTATCGGCTTCACCATCACTTAGAATTATTTCGTTTGTCATGTTCCATGCATAATCGGGATTCATAAGGTCTTGAGTTACATCGACCCAAAATACGTTACTGTCTCCGGTAGCCTTATTGTCAAGCATAGCTCGTGTATCACCCTCTTCTAGTGATACAAGCCCGTCGTAACGTTTCTCATCCGTAATAATTGCACAGAATCGTGCAAATGCATTGTCAGTCTTTCGAAGCGTCATCGCCTCATCCTTCTGTTTTACTGGAATTTCTTGTTTGTCTTTCTTCACCTTTGTCTTGCTTATTGCCTTGTGCTTCTTCTTTGGTGTTATATTTAGAGAGGTCGAGAGCCAATTAGGAGAGCCAGTTGTCGCTCTATCATTATCATACAACGCCTGAATTATTCGCTGTTTTAACTGGACGCTAAAACCCTTCTTGTCATGTACATCATAAACATGCTCTCGTGAATACATAATTTCGCCTGCTCCTCTAACGGTAAGACCTAGCATTTCTTCCCTTCGTATGTGTTCTTTGTACGCCGATTCACGAAGCCATGCTGAATAATTTGGCTGCTGTGTGCGCCTCGTTACACTCTTTGTCTCTCCTTGAAAATCTGTCTCTCCTTGCGAATCCGATGAAGTACCTGAAGAGTTCGAAGACACCAGAGAAGTGATCGCCATCGATTGATTCGACGGCGGTGTGCTAGCATTCTGCATAGGATTGGTTTCAATCCCTGAGGAAGTCGATGCTGTGTGCTGCGTCCCCATAGTATTCGGGTTCGATGCTGCATTAGCCTGCTGTTGCGATGCCGACATGGTATAGTTTTAGTTCATGTTCTTCGTTTTATGTTCGTATTCGACTATGTTCCCTCTGTACTGTTTCCATAGATAATTGAGTGTGGATCTACCTATAACCGACAACTTTATATATGTGTGTGTGCACAATTGAATTGGGCGCTCAAAACAGTGAAAACACACAACATTTGACACCACATTTGTAAAAGGGCGGTTTTCCATTCTACCAATGAAATGTTTTTACTTATTTTACGTCACAGTCGACAAACGTACTTTAACGGTACGTATTCTCGTTTTTCGTTTGCCTTTAACAACAAATTCTGAGCACCTTGTTGTTAAATGAATTTTCGAAAAACAAAAACTATGTGCTCTTATTGGTTGAAAAATACCTTTAATTAAACGGATTTATTGAAAACTCATCGTTAAGAACCACCCTAAAACGAGTCATCATATTTATTTATTTTATTTATATATATATATTTCTTCTGTTTCGAAAGTTGTTTCTAAAAAAACCCTTTTTTTTAAATAAAAAAGTATTTATAAATGCTCTTAGCCTGCTGGTTTCAGTTCTTTTTATAAGAAAACAAATGAAATAATATATAGATAAAGATGAACCGAAAATCTCCCTCTGGTTTATTCACTACTATGAACCGACGTGACACGACGCCCCCGCCCCCCCCCTCCCCCTCGTATAAACAATCTGAAAAACCAAGTTTCAATTTTTTTAGTTTTCATGTGAACGACAAAAACCCTATAAGGGATACCAGAGAGAAATATACCTAAAAATCCCCTGCTGTCAGTGCTGAGTGAAGTGACAAGCCCACTCTGGTTGTAGTTATCATAAATTAAACGTTTTGTGTAAATACATATTGTCCTGGTACGGGTGTATGTGATATTTATATCAGGACGATTCGATAAGCCTACTAGTAGCACTGTATGAGCTAGTTGCTATATCATATCTGATTAGACGTAGTACTAGATGCCAGCGGATCAACCAGATAGTTTTACGTGCTTGCTTCGAGGGTGATTCTGTGTATGAGATACGTCGGATACGCTTGAAGCACCGTAACAATGCAACCCTCGCGCGTATTAAGAACTATCACGTGAGTGAATCTGGTCACATGCTTCGCATTCGTGAAGTTTAAGTCCGATTTATGCGTTTTGGTACTGATTTATAAGACGTGAGCCCGTATAGGCAGGCACTGAGAGTAGTCTGATAAGATAAACGAAGACCAAACCTTATTTCGGTGTACTCCCTGCTATTAGAGCGCAGATGTCACAAAGATAAGGGTGTAGATACTGTATGTGACCTCAGTATACGACACGCTGCACGTACTGGAGTACACTATCCTGTGCATAAACCGCTTCCATCGTGCATTACTGATACGAAGCAAGTACAAAACAGTACTTCACCAATAGGCATCAGACAAACCGCCTTCACATCCGCACTCGGATCACAAGCGCACGTGTATTGTATATATTGTGGGCAAGCTGTGTGAGAAGAACGTGTCAAGTCGTAGGTACATATTGGTTAGTATATTGATAGGCATACATATATTGGCAGGAAGTGACTATGGAGGGTGATAAGAAATCCAAGATGACTAAGACCGGTACAGGTGTGAGACGGTTCAAGCTCACTGCCGTAGCCGATATTGTTGAGAACATGGGAACACCCAAAAGTGCACTCAAAGATGCCAGTACAGATGCACCCAAAAGTGCAGTCAAAGATGCCAGTACAAATGTACCTCTACATATCAATACAGATACGAGCACGGCTACACACGGGGACCCCTCAAGCAGGAGCCCGTCACCCGGCAATACGGACCAAGCACATGATAAAACAATAGTCCCTACACTTACGAGTGCAGCGGGAGGGGTGCATACCACAGTAGGAGAAAGCAGCACAGAGAAAGATTCTGGTGGGGATGTCAACGGTGAGACTGATGCGAGTACGAGCGGTAAGGATCTTGATGCTGATAAGACCAGCAAAGACACTGATATAAGCAGTACTGAAGGGCACTCTCAGACCGACATGCGCTGTCTCCAAGAGACAAATAAGGATACAAGGAAGGGTCCACAAGGGAATAAAAAGAGTGTGGAGGGTGTAGGGCGTGAGCGCAATGGTGTAGTCGCGAAGAAGTCGGTCCAGTTGGGGTCTAGGCAGTCACTGCCACAGGAAGGGCCTCAACGGCCCGGCTCGCCTCTGGCTGTGGTGAGGAAGCCGATGAGTGGGGTGGCTAGTGTAAGTGTGCAGAAGGTGAACTCCAGTAACAATACCAGCGGCAGTGATAGTAACCACACACAACACGGTGCGAAAGAGACCGCACCATTTGGGGATGTAACATCCGTGCGTGTGCTGCCAGATACTGTTATCAAGGATGACAATGCTCAGACAGGCGGTGCGAAGCAGGGTGGATCGAAAAGCCCGGATGTTTCTGCGAGTGCGATTGCTAGTAGTACAACCGCACATATACCCCAACAAGAACAAGCACAAGCGCAAGCATCGACTGCACGCAAGAAAACACCGCCGCAGGCCATTCCGGAGCGAAGCTCAGCCGGGGTTAAGGGAGGTGGGCGTGGTATACCCACCCCTGGGTCCCTACCATCCTTGCCCAGTCCGGTATCAGAGAGTCTGTTATTAGAAGTGCGTGCTGAGGCACAGCGCATGAAGTCCGATCCCACCCATTTCATGAACCCGTTGTCAAGCACGTCTGCGCCTGTGGTCACCGCCAAGAGTGGGGTGAAGCCCAGCAGATTCACCATATACGATCCCAACATGGGTGTGGGGGCTGTCGGCGTGAATGCCACAGATGTGGCGGCCGGTAGCGCCGGTAGCAGTAAGAATAACAGTGTGTTGAATCTGGTCGCGAGTGGTCCTAATAGCGGCCTGGACAGTGCGGGTGCCAGTACCGTTGCACTGGCCAATGTGGGTTCGAGTGGACAGGGTGTGACTGTAGCGCTCATACCGTTGGCGACGGATAATGTCGGGGTGGCGGTGAATCCGGGAATACCCATGTACGCGGCTCCGTCGGTGGCTCATATGCCGGATATGGAGTACTCACGGAGTAGATTTAAAGTGAAAGATACGCATCCAAATGGAGTCATCGGAGGAGGGGGTGGCGGCGGTGTACTGGGGAGCACCCGGCCAGCGCGGAGTCAACCAATAACCACCACCACCCTTACCACAACAACTACCGATACCGATTTGAATGGTACAACGGTTGTGCGTCACCAGAGTAGCAATATATTCAGTAGTGCTGGCGTGGGTATGGGTGTTCATGGGCATGTGGCTGGGTCTGTAGTTTTACCTGTAGGAGATACATCATCGCATCTGTACACAACGGCCGACGGGGTGGTGAGGAGTGTGAATGGCGATATCAAGCATGCAGAGAACGCCAGTGGACTACATGGTGTACCTCCCACGCCCTCCCGGTTTGTGGTGAACGGTGTGCCGGATGCTTCTGGTAATAAGGGACATGCAGCAGCACATACTGCAGCGCAGGCTCAGATGACGGCGCCGATTCAAACACAGGTACAAGGGGCCATTCCAGTCGGACGCTTTAGATCACTACAACACGGCGTTATCGATCTTTCACACGCCCCGCCGCGACAGCTCACTCCCACCCCACATCATATGACTCAGCATCGCATGGAGCAGTTGCAGCACCAGCACCAACAGCAGCAGCACAGAGGGCAGCTAGGATCGCCCATCATGTCGCTCGTGCACCCTCATGGGGGTCAGATACTCTACCAGACCGCCTCGAATGTAACGCCTGTTATGTATATGCCATCCAGTCAGTCTATGTATTCATCGGTCGGCATGCCGTTGATGGACGATGGACACCCGCAGCCAATGACGCAGCAGGATGTGCTTGGGGGTATACCGGCGGGGAGTGAGGCCCATGGGGGTAAGGCTATGCCCGTGGGTATGGAAGACCAAGACATGCACCAAGCAGGCCATGGTATGGAGAGTGATGATCTCAACTACGTGTATGTGTCGGCGGACGATGTGAGTGTGAACGGTGTGCCGGTGGATCCCCAAGGGGTGCACCAGAAGTACATGCCCATGCCGGTGAATTTCAGGAGGGTTGCCCAGACGGGTCTAGATGCGCTGAAGAAGGTTAGGAAGAGTAATGTGGAGCAGCAGAAGATGCTCAAAAAACTCATCGAATTCCATCGACCGGGCATGGATGTCATCTCCAGCGGCACGTTCATGGACAAGTTGGTATGTCTCCGGCTATATATGCTTCTCTCCGTATTTTTTGTCTCAGAATCCAGTATCGTCTCTGATAGATGTGTGTGCTTTTTGCACAGTGGTGAGCAGCTTACCGGATTTACTTGTCGTGTGCCATGTAAATAGCCTGAAATTTGGAGCAAATTTCTATTCTTGAGGCACGTAGTAGTGTAAACTCTATGTATGGCATCATCGGCGGCTATTGCATGCGCACGAGTTTGATATTCGACCTAAATACGTGTATTATATCAGCGGCAAACCTTTCTTCTGGAAGTTGCTATGTAGTATTACATTTCAAGCTTTGCCAGTGAGCCCTTGTTTACAATGTGTGCTACCATCAGCGGTATATTTATGTACCACGCTTTTTGAGTGTAGGTGTCGACCCGTCCAAACTCTAAACGCGGTGTAACTGATTTGCATGCGTTGGGGATGTTTGAGTCTAGAGTCTAATTCAACTTTGTGTGCATATAAATCGCTTTATCTCTAGCGTTCTGCTTGTGTGCTGTCTAAAGGCAGTGACTGTGCATCTGTGAAGTATAGTCATGCGTAAAGCGGCTTTCAAGTGCTAAATGTGCCATAGATCGTACTACATCCATTTGCGTTTCAGATTCTTGCTGTATAATGAGGCAGATATAGTAATATCCATTGTATGACTATTTTCCTACTCACAGGATTTTATGAAAGAACAGTTCGTGGCGCTGAACAAGGAAAACGAGTTACTACTCGAAAATAATCGCAAACTCAGACAGGAGTGCGAGAAGAGAGGGATCAAGACTCCCGATCCCTATACAACAGCCGTCACACAGGACAACTTCTCCATCCCACCTATAGTACAAGCGCCGCAAAGTAATGAGCAGTTCCAGCCTATGATGATGGCCCCGGTGTATGATGAGGCACAGGGTAGCACCCAGCGGGTCATGCCCATGCCCATGCAGATGGATATGGGGCATCCACAGCATGTCGCGTATGTACCGGACATGTACGACGGCATGCAGATGCCTTATGCACACGCGGGGAGCGATAATCAGGTGCCTATGGGTGCCTATCAGCCTGTCGGTGCATATCATGACATGAATTACGGCTCCTATATGACTGCAGAAAATGGTGACTTGAATAACGGGCAATCCCACGATGGGTTTGCGCAGACTGCGGGGTATGAAGAGTTCACGGACTGGAGGAGTGTGGACAATAGCACGGAGTTTGACCATCGAGCGAGCTTGCCGGAGATTTCTGACCCGGCCGCTAATAACTGGGTTAGTGATTTCAGTTCTGCTACAGTATCGGATGGTGCAGTCTCGCACACCCAGGATGCCTCTGTGGATTGGGGCTCACAGCTTACGAATACGTACAGCGGTATGGATATGAATGGGGGCTACCCCCACGCAGAGGTGGTCGGTGTACCCGTGGGTTATGGTCTGGGTCTAAATGCTGGCGTGCCTGTGCACGTTCCGATAGATAGTCATGGTGTGTATGGTGCGAATGGGTTGTACACGACACATCCGCCAGTGTTTCAGCAGGCGGCCATAGTAGGGGCTCAGAACACGCCTGGCTGGATGTACAATAGCACATCGACGCTGAAGCAGGAAAATTCTGCGCCCACGCAGCCAGTCCCGCAGTCGGGGCAGACAACACCACAGACACAGACGCAGGCGCAGGATCATTTACCGACCTTTCAGCAGCCACAAATGCGACGCGTAACTCCCACTCAGGAGCAGATGGGTGCCTTCGCTCAGGCGCAAATACCAACACCGGTTCACGCAGTAGTTCCCGGTGTTGCTGATATAGTAACATCTGGTGTGCCGTTGATGACACCCATGGGCGCGTTTCCCACAGTGCCACTGCAACAGCCGCAGCAGCAGCAGCAATTGAACTCCCAGCATGTCTTGCAGGCACAGAATATGCAGAATGCGCAGACCTTGCAACAGGCCCAGAATGGACAGCAATCGTGGAGTGACCAGCATCCTCAGTCACCGCTCGTGCAGCAGCAACAGGCACAACTGCAGCAACAGCAAGTGCAACTACAGCATATGCAGTATATGCAACAGCAAGCGCAGTATGTGCAACAGCAAGCATATCTACAGCAGCAGCATCAATCGGAACAAAATCAGCAGTCACAACCACCGCCACGCCCACGGCCGCCACAGCAGGGCTCCATGCCCAACCCCACACCGCACGCACAATTACAGCAGCAACAAAATCAGCAGAGAGAGATGCAGAAGAAACACGTGCAGCAACTAAGGCAACAGCAGCAGCAGCAGGGCCAACCTGTGGCTGAGAGTGCCAGTAAAGGACCGAGCACGGCTGTTAAAGGTAGTGCAAGTCCTACAGCCAAGAGTGGTGCGAGTTCAAGTGTCAGAGGGAATGCGGGATCCGGTACTGGTACTGGTGGCGGCGCCAAAGCTCCAGTAGGCGGACACAGCGCTCAGCAGGTGTTGCAGAAGAAGCAGCAGCAACAAAAGCAAATTAGAGAGCAACAAGCGCAGAAACATGCACAAGCACAAGCAACCCCGCAGCAACTAATTGCGGTACAAACCTCCAGTATGCCGGCTTCGAATAATACTAACCGGGGCCAAGGTTCATCTATTGCCGAGCATAGCAGAGTGTCAGCATCTAATTCAATGCCTATGAATCAGCAACAAAAGCAGCAAGAAGCGAAACGTAAGTCAGGACAAGTTCCGACCAAAACTCAAGCCCAGATGTCAAACAAGACGGGTGGAGCACAGCAAACGAGCCACCAACAGCAACGAGTGAATAGCAGTGGCGGTGGTGCAACGAATGCTCGTGCATCCTTGCCTTCGTTGCAAAATACGCCTGAGCCGCTGCCGAATGTCAATATGCACCAATCTACTGGCCACAACAATAATCATAACCAGAACATTGCGCAGCACAACAACAGCAATCCTACCAGCAATACACCACATAATGGCCCTACCACTCTTGCAACTCTTCCATCAGCCGCATCCAGAGGGACAGCCAGCCAAACTGGAGAACTTCAGCCTATCTCACAACCGCAGTCGCTGCTACAGCAGCAGCAAGCGATGTTGCAACAGCAGCACATGCAACAGCAACAAATGCTTCAAAACCGCCAACAGCAGCAACACATGCAACTTCTGCAACAACAACACATGGTGCAGCAGCAACACATGCAACAGCAAATGCAACAACACCAACAGAATATGTATAACGCTCAGCTCACTCAGACCACAGCTGGTCAGCCCAGCGACCAGTCAGCGAATCTAAACTTGGCATCGCACCACAATGCCAGCGTATTGTCTGGTTCGATGCAGCGTCCACAACCGCAACAACTGCATACTGGACAACCACAAGGACAGCCGGCCAAATTCAATCAACCAGCCTTGAATCGACATCCTGGACAAGGTAGCGTAGCTGCATCGCGACCTCGAACTCCGCCGATACAAAAGTCCTCAACCACTGGCGTATCTGCAACGGATACAAAATAAAGTGTTGATGTGAAGAAGGAGTCTGTCGTTTTGGCTACATCATGAGTGGACAATAGGTGGTCAGTGTGCTGAATATGAGTGGTATTCAAACGCAGATATCGAGTGGCTCCCCCGGCGCTGTCCGTTAAACACAATAGAGTGCACTGCAGAAGTCGGCTTCGCACACATGAGCGAATAGCTTCTAAGGCACGACACACGGAGAATGTCTATAGTATAGCTCTCTCAAACAACGGAATCGGATTAAATTGCACGCCATTAAATGCATGACATCGTGAGGGGTCAAGCGTATTTTTTTACTTTTCTGTCACTATTTGAGCGATAGTGATTTTGGTATTGAAGGATAGCACTATGGCGTTGTGTTCAAAATCGGTTAGTACGCCCTGTCGGACCAGAGGGATGTGTAGTAACATATTCTTTTGTGCCTGGGTACCACCTTGAATTTTATTCAAGGAGTGATAAGTGCGGCCTTACTTTGCAAATTTTATGTGCTGTGCTCCTAATATCAACAAAATAATATGTGTTTTTTTGCATACATTTAAAGACTTCAGACGCATAACAACCTCTTCTGCCTCCTTTCATGTATATGTAGAATAGTTGCCATCTGTCCGTGTTTCTCATCGTCAAGATGCCGATAATTGCGTTTATATTTGCGTCCTGCGTGGGCTCATATCATTATCAAGTGGCAATATTCAAAAGACTTGGGACCTCAATCGCAGGCAGAGAACAATATTCCGAATCGAGTATCAAATCTATACAAAATAGCTCGAATAGACGTGCACATTCAGACATAAATCATCTTCAAGGAAACTATCTTGCTCAGTGTTTGTACGTAACAGCGAGAATACCCAAAAATGAAATATCATTCATAATATGTTACAATGTGGTGTAGCTGACCGCTTTCTCTGTGAAGAAGCATAGCAATAGCAACATCATGTACTCGAGACCGTTTCCATGTGTTCGTTTCGCCGATACGAATTTCTAAAGATTGTCGTTGCAATGATAGTACCGATCCTCGCTCTCGACTGATTTTACTATTGGTATTTTAAACCGATCACAAGAATCTCAAACGTGTAGATTTGATATACCAGTAATGTACAAAGTCAATTACATGTGGATTGTTCACTGAAAAAATGGCAGCGTATGAACTGAGGCAATGTCGGTTTGCACGTAGTTTCATCCTGAAGTAAATAGCGGTTGTGATTGAACCAAAAGGTGAGAGTACAACCCAAATGATAAATAGGAACGGCGAGTGTCTGCTTTCCAAATTTATAACCGATTGTCTGTTATACAATGCGACCTATAAAACTTCTGGATGTTTCTTTATATATTATACTGCAATATCACTGCCGAATACATAACCAAAAAGTTCAGCACACGGCGTGTATACTGCTGATATCGTCGTCCAGAAATAATCTGCCAAACGGCCTTTTCGTTTCTGTGATGGATCTAGAGAAAGCAACAGCCTCGTTGTCTATGATATCGATTCACCTGACAACAATAGTTGATTGCCCTGGCCTAGTAAATTACAATCTGAGAAGCAAATACCGATAGTTAAACGATTACTCTGCTTCAGATGTGTCAGGCAAGTAGGAGATGATTGAGAGTGACTCGCGAAACCATGGGTAACTTTGGAACAAGGTACATATGATTGGCCGACAAGGAATCGATGCACGTACGAAATATGGATGTACCTTGTCGACCGCTCGCGGATCTGTATTCCGTCCATGAAGTCGTCAATCTTGTACTAGTGATCTGCCATCTAGTGTAGGTTACCGTTCTCGTTGTGAGGCTGACTTGACATCAAATTTTGCAAATCCTGATAGATACAATTAAAAAGTTTGAAGACAGCCATCATTTGTCTGCGTTTTGTGTACCAGGAGCTAAATAGTCCTTGGAACGCTCCAGATAGAGAAGTACCAAATTTAGCACCCTGCCGTTCAGGAGGTATAGGGTGCAAAAGTTACCCTGAGTTTCGGCGCCTACGGTACCAATTAATGCATGAATGATGATAGCCGCTTGAAATGATTATTTCAATATTCTAATATTCAGAATGGTCGTGAGCAAGTAGACGAGCGAATCATAAGAAGAACCCAGTGTGGATTCAAAACCGGCCATATCCGATAAGACTCGAGTTTGTTATCAGAGGACATGGAAGACGATGTCGTTCTAAATATTTTCACTTTCAACAATACAAAATTGTTGCCGATTATAGCTTGATGCCTCACTTTGACAAAAATTAACATGGTTTTCACGCATGAATTGACAATCACTCTAAGTGGCGTTTGAGGATCAAATTTTAAATGTTTTTGGATACACCAAAAGTTAAAGAAACCTACTAAACTCTTCGTGACAGATCGAAAGTAATACGCAAGTAGAGTCGGCGGCGAGAACAAAGAAAATACTTTAAAATAATAGAATGACATCGACTAAAAAACGGCCTACATAGGTTGTATCCATCAGAGCTCCCCTTATATATAACTTCTATACCAATGCATGGAAGGCGCCCAAGAACAATCACTGATCGTCTGGAACGAGAATATGTCAGCAGCATTCGATTTGTGGAAAAAAGTGATTAGCTTGTTGATATTTATGCATCCGGATTGCAGTAAAGACCTTAAAGGATTGATGTTGAAGGTATATGCGTGTGAGGTGACTACAGGCTGTATAATCACGCAAATGTAACTACGAGGTATTAGCAAATATTCTAAGTACAGTGAAGCATTTCTTATCACTAGCGACAAAAGTGCAGTAAAGTATTTCTTATCACTAACGACAAGGCACA